GTACTCTGTGTAGGTTCGAATGTACGCTGATAGCAAACGTGAGAATAGTGATGATTCAAACTGACCAAAGACTCGCCGAAGTAAGCCAACATTCTTCATAGTAGCAGACAAAGCCTTAGCACACTTATTGGAGCAGCTTAAATCCTCTTGAACAACAATACTTAAGTCCTTTTCGCTCGAAGTATGTGGTAGCTGCTGGTCCCTGAGGAAATACGAGAATATATATATATATATATATATTCACTCACGTCTGAATCCAGACTGTGTGCTAAACAAATTATGGTACAATAATCTTTATGAAAAAGAAATACGTTCCACGATTTGCATGTGAGCGAATAAACTGCCAGGTTAACCAGGTCAAGGCAGGTGAATTTTCCGGAGGAATCCACAACCGGGGCCTTCGGCTAGCCAAAGCCTGACCCGCAAGGCAGTAGGTGGTGGTCGTGTGCGAAAACCGCAATCCAACTCCAGTTCATCGGACGGGGTCAAACATCCAAGGTGTCCAATCGAGCCGGTGATCATTGCTACAGCCAAGGTGTAGGTGTGGTAGTCAGAATAGTACTGAATGTAGGAATACGAGAACCCGTAATGTACTTCTCAGAACTGAATTGGCTCCAACCCGAACTGCGGACACTAATGAAATACACGAGGAATTGATAGCAGCAAATATTTATGTTTATTGATGGAATTAGATCAAGTTTTATAGAATTTAATAGTTCATATGATTGGTTAAACGAGCGTCCTCCAATCACGTAACCGTTTGCACCGACGCATCATATGTACTAACTCGGATGTCACGTTCGCCCGGTGTACCATTGGTCGGGCTTCCTGAACGGTGATTGGATGACATAAAACTGTACCTGGTCGTGCATGAATTGCGGTCACGGAAGTCTAGATCATAGCCCCGGATGTCGGCTTTTCGCCCTTTCACTTTGGTGATGAGAAAACATCTCCACAACAGAAGGTAGTGAGTAGAGCTCCCTCAGCAGAGGCTATTCGAGACGCTCGGTAGTATGGGAGCATTTTGCTAAGCGCAAGGGAAGGGTTACCAACCACAACACTAGCCACCCATCTCCGACCACACTGAGGTTTTAGAATGGTGGCGCTTAGTCGCTTGCTCATGGAATACGACAGTTTAGAGACCAGAATAGCTTTGAGTAGTGCAGGGAAAATGCCCAACGATATTAGCATAGACCCATAAATCGAACTTGGATCAATCTACCGAAAACGGTTTCGATTTTGGCTGTTTCAATTGAATTCAATACAACAAGTAATGAGGTTGCGAAAGTTTCCAAACGACTCATAAACTACTGGAGGCTAGTGCTGAGATGAACGCAGCCTGATGCCCGCAAAGATGGATTGTGCTATATCATGTATAATAGGAGAGTGAATTACGGTCTAATCAGCTACCCGCGGGTAACAGGTTTGCGTTCTGCCTGTGATGAGGTCCCGGGTTCGCAATCCCCATTCGGATCGATGGATTCACGCATTTTGATTCGTTCCAATGCTGGCTTTTTAGTTCACGCTTCATTCCCTCTATAGATGATGAATTTCCCCTTCGATTTTCAATCAACTATCATTTATTTATTCAATCACCGTCAATCCATTTATGGTTGCTATTTTTTATTCCCCCGCCCAACCCCCCATGCTCTCTCTCTCTCTCTACACGATTTCGCGCGCCAATCACAGGCTATACAGAAATGGTTGAATTACTTCTCGAGCATTCTGCCAGTCTGACTAGCCGAACTACAACAGCAGACAGTCTGACCCCGGCACAACTTGCACAACGCGGTCATCATCGTGATTTGGCCGCACGTTTCCGAGAATTGGCCGTACAACAATCTCAGGCCCCAGCGTCCACATATGCCAGTGCTCTACTAAACCGGAATGTATGGTTCGATCGTTTGCGCCGAAATTTCGAGGCCAATTCACAACCTGTTCGCGCAAATTCGTTTGTTTCAAACAAAGATCAGCGATCTAAAGGAACGCAGTTCCACAAAACGTAACGGATAATCAATCCTAAAAGGAAAGCGAGAAATGTCATCAAGAGCAGTAACCCTAACAAAGACAAACTACTTTCACCAATTGTTAGTAGTAACCAGTGAAAATGAAAATAAAGAATTTTACCAACACTTGTTTTCCTGTTTCAGAAAAGCCAATCTGATACACTGTACATTGAATTTGCATTTTTATTTCAGCTCGGATCTGAATGGCAACTTTCTCACTTTGTGAATCTGTGGCAAACTCATCTTCCGTATCAACAATTTCCTCTTATTGTTGTCCAACTGATCGCACGCCTGAGGAACAGAAACCTGAATGTCAGTTTCCCACAGAAAATCAGTCGAAAATCGAAGCCCGTGTACCGCGCCCTGGTCTAACACCTGCAATCGCTCAGTATCGGTGGTTACTTGCTCAACCTCTGGCGTTGTCACGTGATCAGCTGGAATTAATTCGGTCAACCACCGAACGTGATTGGCTCCGGACAGAGCTGACCAGTGATTGGTTGGCTTATCACCCGATTGTTTCCACCAATCAGAAAACACTGTGGCAAACAAGTTATCGTAATTTGTATACCCCCAAACGATTGGATGAACCGACCAAACCTCGACCAACTTCGGGCAGTCGAAGGCACCGACCGCAACCGTCTCGGTGGGTCGAACATTCTTCCTCCACCAGTAGATTTGATTTAAGCCGATTATCTGCTCAATAACTGTGACCTCGATATATCACGCGTGCCATGCATAAGATAACCCAAATTGCTAAGAAATATTGTTCTATACATAGTCAAACCGCCCTTTATATATTGATAATTATCTCCGACAGAAGTCATACAAGATCACACGGGATACCATGAACGACGAGATGTTTACTACACAATATAGATAGATGATGGATGGAAAAATAGATAGATTATTATACCACTACTAAATCCTCCAGGTCAACAACATATATAAGGGGGTGATCGGATTAAACAGAACGAAGAGTCGCGTCCGAGACAGAATAATCATGACACACTCAAGTTCAGTGGTCGAAGTGTTCAACGGTATTTTTACATCTTTTATGTGGTTACAATTTGCAATTCATCAATTATCCTCTAATATGTTTTTGTCCCTTTTTGTTCTCCTTGTCAGAATCCATCAAACGCTTTATCTTGTTTACACACCTACGCACCACGCATGTGGCTCACTGTTTGTAGTTGTACTTAACTACACTACAACTAGTCCTATCAATTACACCCATGATAGTAGCCTATAGATACACTTTAAACCTCTTTTCAAATGTATTAGTGTACCGTGGAACGCTGTTCGAGCCATCCACTGTGTTTCATGTATTTCAGCATTATTTTCAAATGAAAAAAATTTTGTTTACCGATCAAAACGCCAACAGGTGCTATGAAACAAAAAGTGAACTGTTTTGATTTCAAACGTAAATTGGGTTTTTGCTAAACGCTGTTCGGGGACTACCAGAGGTGGTGGTGGCGCAGTGGTTTAGTCGCTGTCATCGGTGTTTCGAGGTTCGAGCCCCGCCACCACCATCCGAATTTGGTGGTAGGCAGCTCTGCTGTCGTCCGGTTCAATACCACACCCAACCTACCGGGGCCTTATGTGGTTTACCACCCCAAGTCCCGGGGCTTAGGTTAACGGTTTCCATCACTGAGCAGCAGGTCCTCGTGATTATGGGGTTCCACCTCGTCTGCTGTTCATCACACGAAAGTGTGTACCAAAAAAACTCACTTTACTACGGCCTGCTCCTTGGGAAGTATAAACCGGGTCCAGACATGATCACGATCATGAAGTTCCTTGGGAGTTGGGTACGAGAGATGTCCCCGGCATCACTCGGCGTTTTTTTTTAAATTTTGATGGCACACCTCTAGCCTTTGCACAACCAAGTGCGAACAGAAAGACAGCAAGATATAATCCCTCGTCACTTGGAAGTGAGGGGGTCAGTAACTTAAGTTTTCATAGGCCACTCACATCGACCTTTGTCACAACACCGTCATTGGGCTTATGCGGCTTTGAAACAGGAGCCAGATGACCAGCCTGAAACCCATCACACCGTGGTAGTCCCGCCGCTGTTTGTTGCGGTATACCACAACTTATTCACAGCCAACCTTGTTCGGTAAAGGTATCGCCTTATCCACAACCCGAGGACGCACCTGGTAGCATTCAGATCTGCTTAAACGGAGGTTACACATGCCTCCGACCCTGATTGTTGCTGCTTACAATTCCAAAACAGTGTGAACACAACTCCCGCGCACGCTTATCTGTTCGGAATGATCCCAAGACGTTTTGCTCTTTGTCCGGTGAATCGAATGTTCTATAGAACAACAATCGTCATTCTTCGACGTTTTATCCTGTCAGATAATTATATTTTTCAATCAATATTCCTCACAGATGACGGTAAAAAGCAATAGATCAAAAGTTTAAGCATAAGATTGAAATGTGTTGATGCTTTCCAGAGCTATCTATTGTTTTCAGCCAGTGAAAATTGCACTGTATCTCGTTCCATATTCACCACAACAGTTGCCAAAACTGTACAAAATTTGGAGCAAACCCAGATAAACGTTCTTTTGTTAGTTTTAATCGTTTGGTTCCCTTCCGGATTCCACCTAAGCTGGTGCACCTCCCGCTGCATACTTGGCCGAATTCGATTAGCCATTGCATCTTCCAGGTCATTTTGTAGAAAACGGATTGGATGAGTTTTGAAATAGCTATTTGTAATATTCGGAATTGTATTTGGAATCGAATAGCACGAACCCGATCTCGGACTGAAAACCCACAGAACAGTCAAGGTTTGGTAGAATCAAGATGAGCTGTGGATACAGTTAATGCTATCCAGATAATTATGCCAACAAATATCACAAGTATCAAGTAATCATAAGCCTATTCTTCGACGTCCAATTCAAATTCAAGTTTTTATTTACGGGAAAAAAACCTACAGACTTCGCTTTTTCAAACCCCATAGGGTGTTTACACTTTGGTTCGGAACACGATTCACAATATCACAGTTAGTCCATGGCAGTAAAGTAGTAAGGTAATGTTTTGACGAGCACAGCAGAATATATTATGTAGTTGAGTGTTGAAACATAATGTTTGCTAG